GCTGGGACGAAACCGTGGAGAAGACACGTCACCGTGGAGAGCCGTTAACCAATATGCAAATTAGCCTGCAGTACCACTGCTCTACCCATATGAGCAGAAAAAACACGTTTTTAGACCAGATATTACAGATTTGAACAAATGCGCACAAAAACATCAAAATTAGCACAGAAACAGTACTATATAACATTTTAGACACATTCTAGGCAGTTTATCAGCTAAAAATAGTTCATTTTGGGGTAAGTTACTCTTTAAAAAGGGGACTGGAGGGTGTGCTCCAATTACAGAGGTATCACGCTCCTTAGCCTCCCTGGTAAGGTCTATTCAGAGGTACTGGAGGGGAGAGTCCAATCGATGGTCGAATCTCAGATTCAGGAGGAACAATGGGGGTTCCATCCTTTCCATGGAACACTGGACCAACTCTTTACTCTCACTAGGGTCCTTGAGAGGTTATAGGAGTTTGCCCATCCAGTCTACATGTGTTTTGTAGCCTTGGAGAGGTATTCAACTGTGTTTCTCAAGGTACACTGTGGGGGTGCTCCGTGACTACAGGATTGTGGGTCTGTTGTTACAGGCCATTTCATCTCTATACAAGGGGTGCGAGACTTTGATTCACATTGCCGGTAGTAAATTGGACCCCTTCAGGGTAGGAGTTGGACTCTGCCAGAGCTGCCCATTGTTACCAATTCTGTTCATAACTTACATGGACAGAATTTCTCAGTGCAGCCAGGGTGCGGAGGGAGTCCGSTTTGGTGACCTCAGGATTTCATCTCTGCTGTTTGCAGATGATGTGGTTCTGTGGTGTCATTGTGCAAGGATCTTCAGCTCTCACTGGAGCGGTTTGCAGCTGGGATTAGMGTCAGCACCTCCAAATCKGWGTCCATGGTCCTTAGTCAGAARAGGGTGGATTGCTCTCTCTGGGTTRGGGGTGAAGTTCTGCCTYAAGTGGAGGAGTTCAAATATTTTGGGATTTTCTTCACAAGTGAGGGACGAATGGAGTGTGAGATTGAYAAATGGATCAGTGCAGCTTCTGCAGTATTGTGGACTCTGTACCAGTCTATTGTAGTGAAGASGGAACTGAGCTGTAAGGCACATTGCTTACCAGTCRGTTTGATGCTACGTTCACACCGAATGTGTTTTGAGCATCTAAAAYGCACCCAATGCCTCAAGTTGGAYGCACTACATTCAGACCGGGACAGAGACTGAAGAGAGAGGAGCGTCATGCTTTTTTTCCCRTTTGTCTTTAACGGCRGATGAAATAACGATAAAATAAAGAAAATGGCTTTGCTTTATTTACTAAGAGCAAGCGAACGCTGCACACACCTGATAGTTAATTCACCAGATAATTTAGAGGCGGTCTGATTGATGAGTTTCACCACTCCAAGAGCTGCATACTGATGAACTCTTTTTCATTAGTCCCAAGCCCAGTTTAACACCGCGGTCAGTTTAACGAGCTGCTGACCCACATTGTTGCTGATATCTCCTGCCAGAACACAGACTACAGTCCGTCTGTTTCAGGTTAGTGGGCAACAATCAGGAAACGTTACGTGGAAAAATAAGTCTCTCTGATTGGTTGACGCAGCACGTCGAGCAGCAAAAGTTCAAATTCTTTAACTCGAGCGTCAGCTGCTTTGGACACACCGTATGCACGRAAAACGCTCAACCGCAACTATCACTTCCTTGTGCGCTGCGCTAAATGACCTAGATGTGCCGCGAGACCGTTACACATGCGTCCACCATAGATTTTGCATGTACAGTAAACCAGCCGCTCCTGCAGCTCAAAACGCATTTGGTGTGAACATAGCATGAGTTCCTGCCCTCACCTATGGCCACAAACTTTGGGTAGTGACTGAAAGAATGAGATCGTGGATACAAGCAGTTAAAATAAGTTTTCTCCGCAGGGTAGTTGGGCTCTCCCTTAGAGACAGGGTGAGAAGTTCAGGGAGAGACTCAAAGTAGAGCCACTGCTCCTCYGCATCGAGAGGGACCAGTTGAGGTGGTTCAGGCATTTGGTAAAGATGCCTCCTGGACCTTTTCTTAGGGCGGTGCTTCAAGCATGTCCAACTGGAATTAGACTATCTCTTGTCTGGCCTGGGAATGCTTTGGAAACTTGCAGAAGAGCTGGAAGAGGTTGCTGGGAAAAGAGACCTCTGGGCTTTCTGTTCAAGCTGCTGCCCCCAAAACTTGAACAAGGGATGGATGGATGGATGGATGGATGGATGAATCCAGACTGGATTTCTACTGGGACAAAATCTTGAGAATTTTTTAAGCTTTAATTATGATATAATTACCCTCTAAAGCAAATTAAACATGTTAGTAAAGGTCCTGTTGTAAAGGACACAGTAATTATTAATAGAAACTCAGAGCTTGAATCTGTTTTAGAAAAACGTTAAGAACCTTCAAATACTGATGCATCTGTATACAAACACATCATTGTTGTTTTTCTCACAAAAAACAGCTTTTTCATGTATAATTTGATGTCATAGATTTGTTYGATTATGCCCAACMCTACAAAATRGGTAAAATCATGTTTACTATGCCAATGTTTTTAAGTATAAAGAGGCTTTCTTTKACTTTTTGTATTTGAAGGATAGGCATRTCACAGGCACTTTAAATCATCAATGAGTTCCATGTGAACCCACATCTCTAAATTAAGTGCTATATTTTATGATTGCCACCTAGCTCTTGATTTACTTTATTTACTTAAATTCTYGACAATTGGTTCTCAAATCTCAGTGAGTTCTTAAAGATATTTCTTAGCATCTGAACAGCAAAAATGATGAATAAAAGAGCTTTAATGAACTTTCATCTGGTGATAAACTGCTAAATATTTTTTGTTAATTCAATTTATTTTAGGTGATCAGATCTGACTATGCTGAGCAACAATAATTTACCTTTTGTGATGTCATGTAAATGTTTATTGTTTAGACAGTAATCTCAGAGTATCCATCAGACTCATTCTCCTACTGATCAGTGTCCCACTTCTCCATGTTTCACCTCCACAACGCAACAACCACCACCAATCACAGAAGCGTGACATGAGGTGTGTGTGTGTGTGTGTGTGTGTGTGTGTGTGTGTGTGTGTGTGTGTGTGT